TAGCCTGTTGTTGTTGCTTTTAAATAGTTGATTCCAATTTCTACCTCCCCCGAAACAGTTGAACCTCCAAACAATGGTGGACCTCCAAACATCTAAACAGCTGAGCTCTCATTACCTCAAGCTGAGATCCATCAGAGTCTAACGCTATGATTGGCTCAGAGTTGTGCTCTCCAGATGTGATTGGTTCTGTGGACTGTGCTGAAGTTCTCATTGGTTGAGAGGTTTGTGAAATAGCTCTGGTTGGTTCTGCGGTTCCTTTGGAGTTACATGTTGGCCTGTTGTTGTTGCTTTTAAATAGTTGATTCCAATTTCTACATAATGAATTAAAGTGTTAAAATGAGTTTTGAATGGCTCATTAAGGTCAGGTAGATAATACAGAAGGTTAATTAACAAGCTTGAAAAGGCAAATACACAACTAGAGTCATTAATCGACCCCTCTTCACACATTCTTTGTGGCCTGTTTCATCATTGACCGGATACTTGAGTCATTTGATTTATCACTTAAAAATATCTCGTGCCTGTCACTGAAGCAATCACAGGAACAAAATACTATCTTAGAAATGTAAAACCCATATTAATTACATTAATATACATTGGTCTCCTTCTTCTTTAGTGTCTTTGGTAATCAATTTAAGTGGGACATTTCTTGAACTTTGTATTCAAAACAGCCAAGGCTTCAGCAGGAGAAAATACCACACCACAGGGATCTACTATCTAATCATGTGTTTTCCTTGCTCAAAGTGTTGCTTAAAGGCAAAACTGAGTGAAACTGTGGTGACTTAACAAAACCACATACAATACGATCTGGAATCTATGTGTCAGACAACTGAGCTGACCTGTCAGCAGCTCAAGTAATCTTTGCCAGCCAAACTCAAACTCGCAAGAAACTTAACATCTACTAACTTACATGAGTTTCACGTACACCGTAAGGCTTAAAAGGCAGGAATTGACAATCTTTAGATGTTTCTTGCGAGGACAAAAAACAAAAACAAGTGAAAGAAAGTTGTGAGGAAGAATACGGTAACATCAAAACATTTTGAGGGACTAGTTATTGCAGTTTGGATCAGATATATTTGGATAAAACTCAAATACTTCCCGCTTGAATGAGGACAGTTTTCTACTTTCCTGAGATAAATTTCATGACACAGTGTTTTAACACAACAGAAAAGGTTGATTAGAATCTGTCAAGACAGTTATAATGTAACATAAAATGTTTTCATATTCAACACCTGTGAAATTATAAAGCTTATTCCAAGGTTATGCGAGTTGGAGAAAAAAAACCAAGTTTTTTTGTTTTTACACAGAATCAAAAATGGTTTCAGAACAAAATCTGGTGATGGACGCTGCAGCTTTTAAATGCTTTAAATTGACCAACTTCCTGGTTTTAGGAATTACAGGATTAGTTTAAGGACTACAAACTGTAAAAAGTAATAATACATTTTCATACAAGCTAGACATTTAAGTTTATATCACCACATACAGTACAGTACAGTGGCCCACAAGAAGACACAAACTAATTCTTAAAATAATACAAATATGACAATGCAAGTGGCAAACAAAACTCAGAAATGTGAAGCAATATTGGAATACAAACAACAAACTAAAAATCCAAGAAAAACGATGCATATTGGATATATAGGTTGACATGCACCCGAAGGGAAACCTGAAAGCACTTTTTATGATCCATATGTGCTCTGCATGACTTCCTCTATATACTGTAGTCTACTCTTGTGTATCCTGCATATTCTATTGTCTTCTATTTCTACTTTGTCATCTAAAAACACAGAGGATACATCACCAGAGTGACTGATTAAATGTTCAACTTATCTGCCTATTACTCAAAAGTTGGTCACGTATTTGTGCGATTGTAAACATACAAAAACCTGTACGTGATTGTCTGCAGACAAACAAAGTGCTGACAGCATAGAGATTAGAGAGCCAGCATGTTTCCAGTATGCAAATCACTGAATCCCCAACTGCTTCGGAGCAGCAGTTCAATTGCGGACACATTGGTCCTTGTCTATTCCTAGTAGTGTGTGTGTGTGTGTGTGTGTGTGTGTGTGTGTGTGTGTTTCAGGCCATCAGGCGTCTCTGGCTACAGGTCAACAGGTAAGGCAGGAAGTACGAGGCGGTGCCGTCATCAGGCATCAGCTCCAGGAACTCTGTGGGGCTCGTCTCCATGGCAACCACTACCAGCGTCTCTGTTGGCATGGGAACCGGCCAGAAAAAAAAAATCATCAACATCAGAGCTGATCTCAACTTTCTGACTTTTTTTGTTTTTGTTGTTGTCTTTCTATTCCAAGCATTCTCGTCAAAACCTGGAGCCTACATTAGCCACAGGGAAACTTGACTCGATTCACTCTGCTGTACAAACCATATATTTAATAATTTAATGCGTTTGTGCTCTGTTGCTTTGCATTTCTATAATGAATGAAATTATTTGAATTGATCGTATTTTCTATATTCAGCTAATCAGTTGTATCTTCTGTAAATAGTATTTACCTTCGTGAAGGTCTAAATGCTGTTTCACATCCTCTCTGTAGCCTACTGCCAGTAATAAACGTGAGGTGAGGGAAAAGTAAATCCTTTATCTATCTATCTATCTATCTATCTGTCTGTTGGCTTAAAAAGTGGTTCAATTGAAATAGCATAACTTATTCCCATCATGTGTACATTTGATACACCCTGTGACCACAGTGTGCTTAGTGGAAACAGCCCTGATTGACTTTCCTTTTAGATTGTTGTCTAACCTGCTCGGTATTGTCGTCATCAGTAAAAAGAGACAAGTCAAGTCAAAAGTGACTGGGTAAACATGAGAAGTTCTTTGACTAAACTATGTCAAGTGACCTTAAACTCTAAACACGATACTGGGGTACTTTTGACAGACTGATGGTATTCTGAGAGAAGCTTCTACCTTTGAGAGCAGCCAATAGGATGCTGTTGTCTGCAGCAGCTCTCGTCCTGTTACAAAGCTCTGGGAGCAACTTCTGCCACCATAACACCTGCAGAGATTAGATACGACAGACAGGGCAATACCTCTCATAATCACTGGCTGTAAAATGCAGAATATACGAAACATTCAGACATGAAACAGAGTGAAAACATAACACATTTGACAGTTCAGGCTACTGCTCAGTACAAACCATATGTTTGTCTTGTAACTGGTGGTTAGCATAGGCTATAATGGCCTGAGGACATCGGTCCAGCAGCTTTTCAATGCTGCCGTCATACTGTCCCCTTCTGGTGGCGCAGAGGAGGTGCAGGCTGAAGCCCCATAAGGTTTCCTCTGAAAGACGCTCCATCAGAGGCACGACGGAGCCCACCGACAGGGACGGACCACACAGGAGAGACTGCAGATGGATACAGGAATACAATCACTGGACAGTTGTAGAGGAATGGAAGACTACGTCACTTTTAAAATATTACATAACACAATCTTTGTCTTACAATTAAAAAGTGTGCCGTCACAGCCTCAGTTGGGCTTGTATGACCAGTAGCTTAGGGTGGCTAGTGTCAGCAAACTATGGATGGATTTATGTGTGCTGCTGTTCAGGTCCAAACCCAGGGTTTTAGATAGACTGAGGCGCTATTTCCGAGTAGTTTCACAATCTCAGATTTTCTATTAACGTATATTTTTCCATATTTGATTCTTATAAATATTCTATATATTATTTTAATGTAAAAAAAGATGAATTAATTTAAAAACAGCTGTATATCCCCGAGTTTGGCTGACAATATTGTAAAAGTTTTTATTTCTGAGAGTTTCCTGGTTTCTTCTAATTGTTGTATTTATTCATTCATTTATTGCTTGGTATGATTATAAAACATTTAATTCAAAGACACTGGGTCCAAAAAATATTGATATCCACCTTTAAAAATACACTTTAAACATAACATTTAAACTGTACTCCACATCCTCAAATCCCAGAAAAAAAAGGTATTGAGGACATGACCTGTGTGTCCTCGATGGTAGTAAGGGCACCACGTGTTTTTATAATTGCCACATGTGACCATAGAGGTCGATGTTGAGCAAAAGTTAAATAGATGCACTTGAAAGATACCATTTGGGTGAGAAAAAGGTCTTGAGTCATTGCACTGTAGTTCTACTAACAGCTGTCATTGCCTCTCATCCTGGGTTCAAATCTCCATCAATGTATTTCCCTAATATACAGTATAAACACTGAAATTGCGTTTCTTTTGTACATATACTGTAAATAGTTGTATTGTTTACTCCAACGTATTTTATGACATACAGAAGCAGCCTTGTGTTCACAGACAGATTACCTGCAGTTTGTAGAGCGCCTCCTGGTGTTGTGAGCTGGTGGTGTGTGCTGGATTGAGAACAGTGAGCCACGGGTACAGAGCACCGTAATGAGAGCAGGAGTTTATCTGAGACACACACACACAAACATGCGGGACTCTTAGTGAATGAGAGTGATGTTCACATGGACTAATTTCTGAACATCACGCTGGTTATAGACACTGATCATTTTTGTCAGTCAATTAAGGTGGTGGTGAAACATCACGAGGCATTTTACGAGAGTCAAACTGAACATAAAAGGGAATCTTGAAAAGCTACAAACAAAGAGAACAGCAGTCATTTTTAGCTACTGTACCAGATCGTCAGCGCTCTTCAGCGGCCTGCGTCTTGAAGGTGTGTGTGGTTCCTTGGTGTGCGTATCCGAGGTTGTATTTGTCAGTCGGTCGATGTAGACAGACGCCACTCGGAACAGAAGTTCCTGGATGATAGTTTCCTGTGAAGACGCCATGAGCATCGCCTCCCAGAAATCCACCTGTAAGCAGTTCTCACAGCCCAGCTCCTAGAAAAAAAACACACACACACACACACATGTAGGATGGATCAAAATGGACAAATATCTTGTAAGCTTGAAACCAACATGACTTCCCTTGTAGCCTCCTAGCTGTGAATTACCAGGTGCTAACGACACGCACGTATACACACACACACACCTTGAATATGTGATCAGCCTGTTCCAGCTGGACTTTGTCGTTTTCATGTAAAGCCACCACGGCAGCCACCAGCAGTCCTGGTTGGGACTTTGCCAATTGGCGGGTCAACGCTGTGGGACGGATGTGTGTGTGCTGGCCTCCACCTCTGCCATGCAGCAACAGCCTCGGCTCCTCGATGAACCCGTACACCAGCAGCATCTGAACACAAACAGACAGTCCTCTGGAATGACTCATATATACGCTATACAACTATTGTGTAACTATTTAATGAATTTCAGAATGCCTGAATGGATGTTTGATGGAATCAGACAAATACAGTTTCTACCATTCCACATGTTTCTCAATCAACTGGGATCTGCAAGCAACATTGTATTTCTCATTTCATTTAATTCGGACTAAGATCAATTTATCACATCCTGTGTATTTCCTGCCAGTGTATGGCACATCCTGACTTAAGGATCTTTAGGATATGCTGTGACATGTCCAACCAGTTTCAGTTATCTTCCTAATATGATTTAATGCAATGGTATCAAAAGCACTTGATAAATTTGTATCATCCTCTTCCTCTGAAATATTAAATCATTATTGAATGCAAACATTGAAGGAAAGTTGCGGCATGTTTAAACAAACAATATAAACTTTACAAAAAGCAAACGCACTGGTGTGACATAAAAAATGTTTCTATTGCATTTAAATAAAAATACTTTTTGAAACCCAATACTGTAATTATTTGTCAAGATAATTAATTAATATAGAGCTAATACATGTTTCTATCAAAGCAGTAAGGTAGATCATCTAGTTGAATATGAATGTGCTTTCATAGAGCAAGTGTCTATTTTTAGATTACTGAGATGGACTGTCGATCTACGAGATGCCGTTACATGATATACATACTGTTAACAAAACATATTTCAGTTTATTCTTCACTAGGAAACACCGCTTAACACACACACACACACACACACACACACACACAACCTCAGCGTGTCTTTCAATCAGATGTGTGTACTGTGGCAGGTCGTCCAAACGCAGCATCATGGTTGCCATGGTGGTTGTCAAAGGAACAGACACGCCAGCTGTGTCTTCCAGATGTTGTAAGATTCGCAGCGTCTGGGCAGGACTGATGTTTATCAGGGACGGGCTGGCGCAAACACTGACGAGCTGTGAGGGCTCTGATTGGCTGAAAATGTCTATGACCTCATCAGCTGCCTCCTGCAGAAAAATGATTAAATGTTTCTTTAGTTTCTGTGTGTATTTACCATCGTATTTTGGAGAACTGGTGGCAAACGTTTTGTTGTGCAACACAAATAAATAAGCTGATAAACTGATGACTATAAAAACAATACAGCGTACTTGAATAATTACTAAATTATATGTTTAAGAGACAATATATGGTTCATATTATAGACTTCTGAAGCTGAGGATAGACTTTTTGAAGACATGAACATTGAAATTCGGCTGTGAATGTCTAAGTTAGAGTGCACAGAAGCAGATGGAAACTGACAGTATTTAATGTAAACATAAAACTAATGTATTCCATATGGTACTTTCAAAACACATCTCTATAAGCCTTACATGATACAAGCAGCATGTGAAGCTTTATGGGGTTTTTATGTTGGCGTTTACCTGACTGAGGATCTGCTCCGTTTCTTCTAACAGGTAATGCTTCAGGTAGAAGAGGAAGCCGGGGCCGTAGGAGTGAGGGCTGCTGGGAAGCGGCCGGTTCCTGGCCATGATCTCTGTGACTGACAGACCAGACATCCTGTAGTACGGCAGAGCCAGGTGGCAGTCCTTCTGACTGCCCCTTACAGAACAGAAAAGCATAGAATTATTACCGAAATATCTTAAAGTCTACCAACAGCACTTCTGATTATCAATTAATAATATATTGAGAAAGAAATACCAAACATTCAGGCACTTTGAAGAATCTTGAACATTGTAATGGCCATTTTCCACTATTTTCAATATTTGTCCTTTTGCGAGGTGTGTGCATGTGTGTTACCTGCTGAAACAGTCTCCCAGCTGTGCACAGTTTTGCCTGAGTGCCTCTTCCAGTTCTTGACTGTCTGTCTGTACAGCCGTCTGTTTCTCAGCTGGTCCGTCTGCATCGGTCTGCAGAGACAGCACGGAGTCTTCCTCGATGTTTGGTTGCTGCTCTGACGCATGGAGTAAGGAGGTGCGGAGGAGGAGGTGAGCTTCACTCAGGAGGTGCCGAAGGCTTTGAAGCTGCGGGTTGGTCTCTGCAAACCGCTGGCTGTATTCAACCTGACTCACAGAGAATGGAGGAATGAATTGCAGCTGGAATGACTTGAGAAAATAGACTTTGCAATGCAGATACATATATTAATGTACTTTTTATGTTTTTCTGGGTTTTTTCTTCCCTTTTCTCTATTTCTTTTGGTTTCATTTCTTTAGTCCATCATGATTATCATTAATAATTGTGAATACAAACACAAATACAACAACTGACATTCAGATAAAGTGGATTTTTTTTTGCACAGTCAATGAAGTGGGTATGTTTGTGTTACCATCTCTTGGTAAAGAGTGAGGGGGGAGACGGTGGCGACCACGTAGAGGTTCCATCCGTGTCCTGCAGCACTGGTTTCTTTGGGGGAAGAGATTGTCCACTTCCTGCTCCTGAGGTCAGAGGTCAAAGAGAGAATAATCAAACAGAGTGATGCGCTTAATCTCTAAGTCTTAACTCACAGAGTAGATGTTTAGCCGATAACAAAATCTGTTTAAAGTGAAGTTCCCACGATTCATGGAAAAACGTTTGTCAACAAGAAAGAACAATGAGAGTAAAGATTTAAACATGTGCTGATTAAGCTCCAGTCTGGAGTCTAGAAACTGGCAATCAGACGAAATATTTCCTATTTAAAGTCATTTTAAAGCTATAGAATGATATAACTCCTAAACATGTCAATAGTTCTCTGCAGTTTCCAATAGACTAATGTAGAATATGGGTGTATGTAAGTAAATGTATTGAAAAGGTATATGTACGTGCAATTATACTTATGTGTGTGATGAACAGTAACAGTATAGTTAACATTTCATCAACATTAAATTCCATGAACCAAGCGGAGGAATGCTTCCTGCTTCCGTTTCCTGACTAACTACTACTGGAACTACTGAACCAGAAATACTACCGTCTGCATCACCAACACACTCCCAATGAAGAACAACCTTTGGGGTGCAGTTCCTATATAATACAGTCTAAGACATATTACTACATTATACATGAACAAACAAACAGTTAGTAAAATGTTAGTGAGCAGGTTAACATGATAAGAAGGTAATCTGGGGCCATGATGGGTAATTCTTTGTGTGTGTGTGTGTGTGTGTTTGTGTGTTTGTGTGTTATGCTGGTCACACGTCATGACGTGGCCTCAAACCTGTAGATTTACCAATCACACACCCTTTATAACTTTCAATGTTAAACCGGGAAACGGGGATGATCGTTGGAAGATGTGTGTTTAGTCACCACTCTTCAACTTCCAATAAAACAAGCCCTGCTCAGCAGCATACTTTATGAATCATCTTTGCAAATTTACATTAAAACCTGGACCATCCAGGGAGCAGACTGACACCAGATATGGACTTTTGGGTGTTCCTCCATTACCTGTCAAAGACTTGCGCTTATATTTGGCAGTGTGGGTGTCCAGAATCGCTCAGTGAGGGTGTCACGGATGACAGCGATGTCCAAACCTGAATTACTTATTAAATTACTCTGGAGAAAGCACCATTATCTAAATCCTTAAGATGCAACTATAAAGGTATGCATTACTTATTTTCATTTCAATAAGAATATATACAGTTTATTAAAAATCTGTACTGTAAAGCTGGATTATTAGGTTAAGATAATTAGTTTGTGATCAAAAAGTCACACACACTAGGACCGTTAGGGAGGTTATGGTTGGATCGGTGTAGGAACTAAAACAGGAAGTGTTGTCACTTTTAGACCAAACTGCAAAGGCACGCAGACATCAATTAACCACGGGCTGAAATGACTGGCTGTTTGAGAGTTTTAGTATATTGCCATATGGAGAAACTTGACTCAAGAAAATACGTACCAGGCATTTGCGGACCATAGATGCTTCATTTTTTAATCAAATGCAAACAAATGTCTGCTTTCAAATATAATCAAGAAGTAAAGTTGTGGATTTTCAATATCCACATCAATATTTAATAGGTTTTATCATTCGTCGTATACTTTACTTCACCATAATCTCTATAAACAGCGGGACAAGATTTTGGTATCCGAAGCATTCCGGTTTGTAGTCCGAGTAGTGTTGACCAATCACGTTCGAGCAGGTTTCGGTTGAAATGCAGGTAAACAGTCCGTGTAAAGAGCAACAGAGGTGGAACGCATTGGCCGAAATGAAAACTTGGAACGCTTTTAACGGTTTGAAATTAGCTTGTAAACTGGCTACTTGTGAAACATTGTGGTTGTTAACTTGACTTAATGAATATTTGATGACTTATGCTGATGCAAGGCAGCTCACAGTGGCAAAATCCTAGTACCTTTACTTCCCTCCTTTTTCAAACGAAGTAGTACCTTTATGCCCCCTTTAGCCTGACGGTGTTGCATGAGGGCAAAGAAATAGCTTAACATGTCGAAGGTCCCCTTTTTGTTTTTGTCATGTATTAGGAAAAACCTGCAACACCGATGTTCCAGTTCAGGCTAATTTCCATCAGCTTGCAGCTAGGAATACAGCTTTCAGTGAAAAATGCAAAAAGGGGCTTCAATGAGGAAAAAAAAAAGCTTCATTCTGTGACATTAAAGGTAAAATAGAATGTCCCTTTAAATAAGCGCTGATATAAGGATTTGGTTAACAATCATCCGCTAAACTAGCACTTCAAGGGTTTCCTGGCGTTGCAGCTTGGCCTAGAAGTGACAACTGAGACTGTGATGGGGTTTGGGGTTTGTCTTACAGGAAGGGGCGTGAAAGAAGGCTCTCCAGAGCCGGCGTGGTTGCGGGATCGATTCCCACCGCCAGGAAAATACCAGTCAGCAAGGTGTGTTCTTTCAACTCACTAAAATAACAACATACACACACAGTAAACAGGTTTATAAATGCATATATGCCTGCACACACACACACACACACACACACACACACACACACACACACACACACACACACACACACACACACACACACAGCATCACCAGTGCTGATAAGGTATTCTGGTACCCGCAGGGAGGCATCTGATGACATGAAAGGTGTACTATACACTATCATAGTCAAGCGTGTTTGTGTGTTTAACTGTATTGTATGCATGTGTGAGAGACTTACAGGCCTCTGCGTTGTGTGGTGCGTTCTGGCTCCTCTGGTGTCTCTGCGTCGGCGGTGGAGAGCAGGATAACATGGCGGCCGTAGACACACACTGAACGCAGACCAATAAACAGCTGCATCCTCAGCGCACACACATCCAGGCTGCAGGGTGGACAGGCCTTCAACACGCACACAGAGTGGAGAGTGGTGAGACTGAATCAGGGAGTAAATCAATCGAGAGGCCACAGAGCAAGGTATTCAGGTGAGGCTCATACCTTTATGGTGCTGTCGATGTAGGGGTCTTCAATCCTGGCTGCTACTGCTGCACAGCGCACGGTGAAACACTGCAATGCATTCCTACCGGCCACACACAGGAATCAAGATAAAACTTACTGGTATGACAAACAAAAACATATTCCATCTTAAGTAATTTAGTCTAATACTGAGGCTTAAATATGTGAGGTCTTTGAATGGAGAAGAATCATTCATATCACTCTCAAAAGACTCATTGGGCCTCATGCAAGTGATCTGTGAGTTGACGGGTGATTTAAGGAAAACTTGACATGTTCATCAATTAATGCGTAGACTTGTACGGCATTATTGGGATGTTAATTATGCTAATTTACAATTATCATGAACACACGCTCATTTACACACAGTGGGCATGCATCGTGTTTATGCTGCTCATTTACAGTTATCTGAGATTAGAAGTGTTTGACGTGGCACACTCGTACGAACCCACTGTACGAAAAAAAGTAAGTCAAGTTTTTCAAGAAATGGATGTTTTTACAAGCTGTGATCCAGCGAAGATGATCGTATTTCCATATTAAAGCAGACTGCAGACGTACTTTGTTATGACGTGCAACAGGTGGTCTGTCAGCACCGCCTTCAGGACCTTCTCTGGATACTGATAGGCCGAGAGAAGCTCGACACCACCCTTCAGGCTGTACAGGTAGCCGGCGGAGGGGAGAGAGAAGAAGCAGAATATGCACGATGGTTCTTCCAGAGACACCGACTGGTTACCTGGAGCGAGCAAGACAGAGAGAAGTACAGAAACAATGTTCTGATGTTGTGGTATCCAATTCATGTACAGTTATTTTGTCAGTTATTGAGTCCTAAAGCTTAGAAATTGTATAACCAGTGAAAGAATATGACATAATTTCACCCATTTCCAATACTAACCAACTTTTACTGAAGAAGCGCAACTGTTTTCCTGGAGCTTACCTGCCCACTGATAATGATTTACAAATCAAGCCCAAATGTTTCATGAATATCTTAGAATTATGTGTGATTTCACTGATAACCAGTGCAGAAGAAAAGACGCATTCTGTCTTGTTTTATGATGTTATTTGTTTAAGTCCTGAAAGAAAGGAAATTACACTGATAAGAAAATCTCAGTCAACTGGCAGAAATTTTTTTCAGAAAAATAGATCCTGAAGGTGAAGATGAAACATTACAATCTGTTCAGAATGATGGAAGTTGCAGTGGATGTTATGCACGGCTTTGCTGCAACTAAATTAAGGTGAAACTGGTCTGAATATATTAATGGTTTGATGGAAATTTTTCCATTTACTGCTCCATTAATATTGTTCTACATGGAAGTTCCTGTGACAACATATGCTGCTTTTGTACCGACACCCATATCTGTATCTCGTGGTGTATTGCGGTACTGACTGGTGAACAGCGGGTAGAGCTGTAGGGAGTGGAGTTGAGTCTCCTCCACACTGCAGCCCTGGAAGAAGTCTGGAGTAAAACGCCTGCAAGAGAGAAGAGACACAAGTTAAATAAACCTCACATAGCAAAAATATGCTCACTGTAAAGATCTAAGGGTCCGAATGTTCCTCAGATATACACGTACACACCTGAAGAGAACATATGACAGTGTGTATTCTCCTGTACTGTCCTCCAGCCCGGCCTTTTCTATGCTGACAGGGATGTCACAGTCCTTAGCCCGATCACCGAGCAACTCTTGGTGTCTCGGAAGGACCTGAAAGTCAGACTGGTCTTCCAGATGGTTTGCTGCACACAAATACGCAGTTAGTTACTGGGGCCTCGTCCCTTTGCCCCCAAATTTAATTTTCTGGATCTGCAGCAGACAAACACTGCAACCCGTTACAAACCCAAACTCAAGACTGTCTGTAAAGTAAACTAAACCAAAAACAGACAGAGATGGATTCAATCATTAAAGAGGGCAACAAACACTGACTTTTCTTTGCGTCTAAAGATTCTTCCAGGGTTTTAGTTTCAGAGGATGCGTCCAGTTTCAGAACCAGCACTTCCAGCTCCGCCTGCACTGCTATATATACTCCACACAGCGCCACCTAGGGGTCAGAGGAGGTTGATCTTAATAGTTTGAACTTCTGAAATACCTAAACAAAAGTAAATGCGTCCTGTTTGTTAAATCATCAAAAGAATGATTGAGGATTTTTCCTCTATTTATTATATTTTGTTTTCCAGACACAGTTCAACTTATAACTGCTGCAACTGCTGATCACCACGATATTTCAGTTATTAAGATAATAAACACATGAGAACCGAAAACACAATGTGGATATAGAACTGATATTTTTGCTTGTATTCATAGCACAGTGTCTGACACAAATAGAAAGCACATTTAGTGTGGATTATAATGATCGTGTTTAACAAATCAATGAAGTAGTTATACTGTTGTGTACAGTTGTTATGGCTTATATTTAATTAGGGGATTATGTACACGCTCAAAACTCAACAACAGAAACCAGACCAGTTGGTATGGGCCTTATTTACTGGTACAACTCTGTAGCAGATAAACAGATTGAACTATGAGGAAAATACAGCTGATTGAACTGAAGAGTAAAAAAGACAAATTGAAGAAGTACCTGTTTAGGTTTGAGTTTTGGAAGATGCAGAATAACTGAGCGTTCAAAATCCAGGAAATTGTGGTTTGAACCTGTGATCTGACCTGAAAACAAAGAGAGGACAGATTAGCTTTATGTCTTCTCCTTAGCAGGAGATAGCAGGCCACATAGAAGTGCTACATTCTAGTCATAAACCAGAAATACAAATGAATTGATTCAAATAATCTGTGAACATGTATAAAGGCTGAGAACATTACTATGAAGTATATGTGTTATTTTGATTGAGTTACCTTGACTCTGACTGGAACTCTGCTGAGAGTTCGTCCAGGTGTTCGGAAACATCTGCTGACTTTGATTCTGTTGGGTTTTTCACAGAGAAAGATGAATTAAGCCACTGCAACATTTACTGTATCAATAAGAGTTTCCTTGTATTGTTTAGATGCTCTATATATAAGAGATAAACCTGATGATAAAATACAACTTCTACTAAATGCACTACATTTGATATTTTAACACTTTTTGAAGGCTTTAAATACTAAATTGAATTTTAATATTGTGGGAAACGGTCACTTCCCTGCACTGGCAGGTCTGAGCATCAACTCCAACCAATATAACCATCACGAAAATGTTAAGTCATCACGGCCACTTGTTTCAGGAATAACATCATATTAAGGAAGTAAAAATGCGACTTTATTTCAGTCTTTGAATTGAGATAATCTAAATAAGGTCCACAGAGGAGGTAAACGCCCAGATTAGCAGGTGGACTCTTACCAGGCTCTGCTGGTTCTGTCTCCTCAAAGCAAACAGAACCAGAGTGTTCTCGCAGCCGACCAGAAGGTCTCCTGTGACTGAGCAACACGCCACGGCAACAGGGCGCTCCGACAGAGGGATCTCGATGATCTCCATCTGCACTCCGCCCCGCACAGACGCCCCACGCAGCAGGTGGCCCAACAAACGCACCCCGACACGGGCCTTTCCCTCCGCCTGAATGGAGAGCAAGAAACAAGTAGATCAAAATACATGGAGTAAAGAAATGAATAATGCAGTAGATATATACGGATAATAAACTAACTATTAAGCTTCATACTCAGAAACACATTTCTGAGTACGAGTATGAACACGTTTTTATTCTAGTGCACAGTTTAGATAATATGGTTTAAATTAAGGTTACATATCATATCAAAGAGAAAAAAAAGAACATGTTCTTACATTTCACAGCACGACAACATTAAGTGCGTACCTGGTAGCGCCAGTTGGTGTAGGCTCTCAGGTAGGTGGCGCTGTTCTTTTCCTCAATGGTCACCAGGTAATCCCCTGGGGAGGCAGAAAGGAAAGCAAGGGTGCAACATGTATTTCTCTCTCCAGCTCACGCCGTAATCACTAATGTTGCCGACTGCCTCGCTCACATATAAAGCCAGCGAAAAAATAAACTGATACTGATACAGTTGCTGTTGCAGAGAGGGAGGCTGACAAAAGAAGAGAGGTCATGCTTTTTACCCATCTTGCTGTGCTGGATGCTCTTCACAGTGCCCATGGTGGCAAAGCGACATATGAAAGGGCAGCCATCCTTCTCCACATTGTAGGCCTCCACCTTGGTTTAGTTCACATCACAACAGAGTCAGTAACCTGCAGAAACCTTTCATCTCCAAAATGTTACCTCTTGTGTGACTCAAGAGTATTCCCACAATCTGCACAGACATTTAGATGTGTTCTTTTATGAGGTTACACTGATCCTGTATATATATATATATATATATATATATATATATATATACACA